CCACAATCAGGTCCTGGTCTCATTCTAGCAGAGAGGACAGAGCTTCTCCATCTTCTGCTTCTGATTGTGTAATCTATTTGATTTATATATTGGCCATCTGTTGATGTCCACACATACAAACCGTCTGTTCAGTTGCTTGAAACGTGTTTGTAATGAACAAATGTTTTCTTCAGAATTCTATTTGACATATGGACCAAGTATAGAAGGTACTTCTCGGATGAGAGACCTCTTTGGATAGTACCGGCAGAGGTTATAAAACCTTTTTCGACTTATAAGGGAGAAGACTGGGTACAATACAAAGATATGTTGAAACCAGTGGGAAAAATATTTGAAATGAAAATGGAAGAGGATTTGGCTTTTAAATATGGTTGGTTGCAATATAGACAGATTAATGACTTGTTTAGAAAAGATAAAAAAGCTTTTGGGTTCAGGGAAAAATATAATGAGATTGAAAATGTATGGTTTGGGGGAGGTAAAAAACTTATTTCAAAAATGTATAAGATATTGCTAAAATGGTATACAGAGGATGAGGTAGTTAAAGAACAGATGATAAAATGGGCAGTTAATATGAATAAAGAAATATCAATGTCATCTTGGGAATATCTATGGAAAAATGCAATGAAAATATCAACGTGTAATAACTTGAAAGAAAATTGTTATAAGATGATGTATAGATGGTATATGACACCAAAGAAAATTGCTAATATGAATAATAATATGTCAAACAAATGTTGGAAGTGTAAAAAGGTAGAGGGCTCATTTTATCACATGTGGTGGACTTGTGAAAAAGCAAAACAGTTTTGGGTTGAGATTCATGCGGAAATGGAAAAGATTGTGAAATGTAATTTTAAGAAAGAACCAGAAATTTTACTTTTGGGTCTTAAAATGGAAGAAGTTAATATGGCAAAAAGGACATTGATGTGGTATATGATCACAACTGCCAGAATGACATATGCGCAGTGTTGGAAACAAGATAAGGTTCCTGAAGTCGGTGACTGGATTAAGAAATTACTTTTCATGGCTGAAATGGACAAAATGACAAGGAAACTTAATTTGGAAGCAGAAGATTTTTTTGCAGACTGGAAAGACTTTAAAGATCATTTGGAAAAGTACTGGGATGTAAGAGACAATTTACTTTGCTTCGATAATTACTAAAGGTTAAAGGAGATTAAAAAATAGTTAAAGATATAAGAATAAAAAAATGTAGTAGTAAGTTACCTATAGATTTGTGTAATAAAAAAGGGAGGGAGGAAGAACATTTAAGAAATGCACCGGAGGTTGGAGCACTGTGGGAAGCCGAGTGGGGGGGAGGAAGGGAGGAGGGTAGGATGTAGAAATATATAAGTTTTGATTTATGTTGGACTTTATATCCTAAGAAAATGTTTTTTTAAAAAAACCAAATGTTTTCTTCACAGAATTCTAGTTTACTCTCCTGCTTCATTTCTTGCTCCTTGCCAAAATCTTCCAACAATATTTGATTCTGCTTTGTTTCCTGATTTTGCATTCCAATGACCTATGATTATCAGCCCATCATGTTTAAGTGTGTGATCAATTTCTTCCTGAACACTTACACAAAAGCTTTCCATTTCTTTCTCTTCAGCATCTGTAGTTGGGCCATAAACTTGAATGATGGTTATGTTGATAGGCTTTCAGTGAAGTCTGATATTATTCAGACTTTGCATTATAGCCTCTGACTGCTTGTGCTACATGTCACCTCAGTATTAGAGTGCTATGATGGGATCATACTGTTCAAATTATGTACATGACCTCTTTCCACACTCTTGAGACTAGGTAGTATTTGGATAGTAAAATAAACAGCAGTTTTATTCCAAATTCTCTCTATGAGCACGTTGGTTCGTTAAACTCATCTAGGGCAAATTTATGGGAAGTAAAATGGTCCAAGACCAAGCATAACCTAATAGTAATGTTAAAAAAAGTACAAAGCAAAGAATGAAGTAGAACAAACTAGTCCTCAGACTTTTCACTCTATACATTTTGAATGTGAAAATCCTTGCCTTAAGAAGCATTTTACTTATTCTAAAATAGAACATTTCATATGAATTCCTTTTCAGTGTTCCCCCTCAATTTTCCTTTTTTATCATCAGAAAAATTAAAGAGGCCTTTGGAAAAAAGCAATTTTTCCTGATTTCTTTCCAGGCCCTCACATTGCTAGATTACACAAAGTATCATGTGAAGAAGTACTGACTTCACTCCCCAGAAATGTCTGTTTATTCTGTGAATGTGCCTCATTTAAATAAACCAAAGTTTACAATGCCAACTTAAATGAGAAAATGGTGTTAAGGAAAGAAACATCAGATTCTTAATCCAGTAGTAAGTCATATACTTAGAAGTGAGAAACACTTGTGCCATATTCCAAATGTTACAGAGTACATTTAATTTTTGTAGTTAGAAATTATGTGATTCACTATGCAGATTTTCTTCCCTAGACACTCATTTTGGACCAAATTTCATTTACTTGAAGAGTGGCCATTAGGAGAATTGTGTACACTTTAGTTAATTGCTCTATATAATGTGCAACGCATACTGGGGAAAAAAATTATTTACCAATATTATGTACCATTAAGCTTGATATACTGAGAAATTTTTAAAGTATCAGAAGAAGTGTTCTTAAGCAATGACAGTAACTGAAAAAAGTGTGTCTTGCACTGACTCTAAGTGGCCACAGGTTTGAAGTATTGTTTGAGCCAGACTGAGGAATTACAGGAAAATCATAATTTTGCAATCATAAAGGTATATGTGAAGTTCCCTGCTAAACTTTTTCTCCCTCCATTATCGATTGAGGAATTTCAAAGGTTTCATATAATCCATCTTAAATTACTCCAATTTTGTATTGGGTACCAATGTAAAGAAAAATTTACCAATGTTGTTAAGTATCTAAATTATTATGAAAGAATGTATTCAATTTTGTGACAAACTACAGGAATACATACTGGTGTTCATCTACATTTTCACCTCTTATCACCCTCAATGTACAGGCAAATGATGCAGTGTTAGCCGAATTGCTTTATTTACAGCAATTGGCAATTTATAAATGGGTTCTTGCCAGTTTATACCAAGGTCCTGTTCCCACCAAGGATTACCAGTAAAGGATTCGAGGCTGTTGTAGTTAAAATAGATGTCTTTTACTTGAAAATATATCTCATACAAATACTGATACTCTCACACATTCAATCAAGTTTCTAAGATTTACAGTAAGAAATAAGCACTTTTGCATTAGCAGGTAGGGGTGATGGTGGGCAATACCTATCTGTCTTGCAGCTTGGTTGTTCCAATGAAGAATGGATGGGAAGAAATGGAAAATAAAAGGATCAACACTACCAGAACTAGCCGGACTGTGTGGGGGTCTCTGACTGCAGATCAAGAGATCAAAGTAGAGACAAGGGTTGGGGATAGCAAGTGGGATTTAAGAGGGGTTAAAGCAGACAGTGGTTGTTGCAGAGATTGCTAGCTAGGAAGGGCCAGGTGTATGGTCCTTCCCTTTTATAGGGGATGGGTGGCAACTGTGCCAACCTCTTGACCCACCTACCTGTTAGTCCGTCCCAAAAACAATCCTATTGGTTACCTATGGGAAGGGGAGGTTACCTGAAGGGGTGGCCAATACTGTAACCTAAAACCTTATGGCATCTGGACAGGTGTGAAAACCTAGGCGTCAAGATGCTCCATTGTAGTGCTGATGAAGCTGGCGATTCTATTGATAACCAAATGTCCATATGGCAGGAAATACCAATGCAGGAACAAAGCAGGCAATGGGTAGTACGTGACTACAAGCAGTTCTGCAATGGGGGCTGTCTCTTCTTGAGGTTGTTGTTCCACTGCTCACAATAATGGAGGTTTGTGCTTCTCCACCAGGCTGGGCAACTGTGTAGCTGAAACCTTATTTACATGTAAAGCATGTGCAGGCACCTTCTATGTGTGGTATCACAACAGGTGACTTAAAGTATACAGCTTTCTGAGCCTGTGTGTGTGTGCACAGTCCATTGTGTGTAGCAATAAATAGTCCATAAAGCAAATATCAAGCTCATTCTCTAACAGCAGTAGCATAAAAAATTATGGGTACCAAGATGCATGTGTTGCTTTTCTGTGGTAGGAAGCACTAGGAAGTAGTGGGTTCTCATGAAGCATCCCCACAATCAGAAAACAGGCTGTTTTATATGTTTATGCCAAAGAGCTAATCTTCACGAGGAAAAAAACTATGGAAGCAACTGTAGTTTCTGGAAGCAACTGTAGCAACTGCCTAGCTCCAATGCAAAAACATGTTCATTACAAGAGGAATTCTGTTGTAATATTTTAATATTATAAAAGAAAGATAAACTCACACTGACTAAAGATTTAATAAAAACAGACTGGACAATGCTAAAGATGCTGTGTTAAACTGAAGTATGTCTTTTCATAAAGTACATTTATTAAAAATAATTTCTGTAAAAAAGATGGAGACATATATACAGTATTTCAGCACACAAAACATTTCTATAAAATAAAAATAGATATTAAAGTGCCCATTTATTTACAAATTGTGGGTGGACAAGTGATAAAGCTGCTGCTGCTGCTTCCAATTACATCTTCTTTGGGGTACATTTATAAAAAGCTGCAAATCATTAACAGTTGCTTCTACACAAATCCCACCGGATGAATATTTGGGGGGGGGGGCACATTTACAATGAAATAATATTTGGAGGTTTATTTGTTAAGAGGGTTATACACAATGTTCTTTGGATTTCTCAATTATAAAAAGCAAATAGATAAATAAGAATAGCTATAAAAGGGAACCCTATATCATCAAGAAAATTGACAAGGAGGTTTTGAAACAGGTACCCCTCCCCACAAAAGATCCCAATACACATGTGCATAGGAATCTTTTTGTGTACCAGAATGATAGGGAAGAAAGTCCTAGGCAGAGTTCTCCCCACCTCAAAAGAGGAAGGCTGGGGAAGGGACTTCATGGGCACTACAGCATGTAGATGCCCTGTACCTATGCAAGGAGGTTGGATTTAGCAGAAAATTTTCCCACATGCAGAAACTGAATTGAGGACATGAAAAACTGCTCAAAGTTTGTGTTTCTGTGTGCATTTTAATGCAACTAATAAGTTCTATTAAATACAGCAACAGTTTTGGGTAACAAATTTCTCTTATATATAACATAATCTCAGTGATACTTTATGTAATTGGAAACGGAAGAATACTGCCAAGTAGTATTTATAAACAGGTAAATATTACTATGTAATACAGATATGAAAAACTGTACTCTTACAAATCGTGCACTTACCAAACAGAGCAGAGCCTGCTTGTGTGTTTATTTCAGCTTCTTTAGACAATCATAGAGAAGTATCCCAGTTTAATTGTTTTCAATAGCTAAAAATTATCTCAAAATTCCCACTTCGGTCCCTTTCATGTGGCCATTTTCAGATTCTTACAGGACATAATCCTCCCTAGGGAAACCCTTTCACACCAAGTCTTCGTTGGAGCATTTTCAAGATGGTATGCACACAATTTAGTAGAGCTTTCAGTCCCATAGTTTAATGAGACCATCCCATCCACATGTGATCACTTTTGACGTTTCATGTGGATGCCACACTGCACCAATGCAGACTTTGTCGTGGGCTTTTAACCTACTGTAGAGTTTTGTTGTCTTCCAGTCCCAGATGTTGAGTTTTCCATCTGCATCTCCTGATATCACGTAGCTGTTTTAAAAAGAAAGTAAGCAATATTTTTGAAGATTAGTTTGGGAAGCAAAAGGTTATAAAATCAAAATTAAATATGTTTAATGCTAAAAGCAGAACAGAATATTAGAAACAATGGACAGGAACCCACGATCCATCAGGACCTTTCCAGCCCTCCTCCTCCTTCCCAGAAGGCCACCACTGTGAAAGCATGTGGGGTCAGAATGTTGAAAATGATGAGAGGGAAGTGGACAAATATCAACAGTCAGCAGCCCTGTACCTAGACAGTTTTCATTGAGGGAGCATGACATCACCTCTGTTGTCACACAAATAATAAAGGAAAATGGGACGCTTTGGGATTGACACTCACACAAGAACATACACAGCCGGAGAGGAAATGCTTCGCCCACCCTCTCCCCTCGTGCACTACCTACCAGCAGCGCCTCAGCCCTCACCTCCCTGGTTGCTTCACACCCAGCCAGACTGGGCAGGAGGAGCAGGAGCGGCTGGCCTAGCCCGCCCTCTCCCCTGCCGGCAGCAGGGCTCACTTGCCTACCCTCCCTGGCCACTCTGCACCTGCCCACACTGAGCAGGAGGAGCAGGAGTGGCAGCGGCTCCCCCATCTGGCCAGGCCTCTCCAGTACCAGTAGGCAAGCAGGCTGGCCTCGCCTGCCCTCTCCCCTCGCGCACTGTCCACTGGCAGTGGGGCTTGCTTGCCTCACCTTCCCCAGCGGCGAGGGTGGGAGAAGGGGTGTGTGCTGCAGATTCGGGAGGGGCACCACTCCCACCTAGCTGCCATCCTGCCTGTCAGTATCACTTCAGTGAAGAAAGAGAAAGAAGAGATCGACGCTGTCCCCTTTCTCCTCCTCACTGTAGCATCCTAACCCACGTCGCTATACGTTCATGCCAGTCCTGCACCCTTTGGAATACATTTTCCTGGGATCAGAAAGGGCTGCAGGGGAGACAGAAAAACCTGTGATCCTTGTGTCCATGGAATTCTACCCCATTTACTTTCTGTTCTACATTTTTCTACAAAATTCATGTAATAGACAAAGTTTGAGTCAAGAGGCACGTTTGAGACAAAGTTTTATCCAAAATGTAAGCTTGTGTGTGCAAAACATACTTCTTCAGATAAAACTGGAATAACAAATAAAATAAAAATAAAATTTTATTCCAGTTTTGTCTGAAGAAGTGTGTTTTGCACACAAAAGCTCACACTTTGAATAAAACTTTGTTGGTCCCAAAGGTCCCACTTGACTCAAACTTTGTTCTGCTGCTTCTGACCAACACAGCTACCCACCTGGATCTATCTTCATGGATTTTGTAGTACATTATGCCAGGAGTCATTTCATAGAAAAAGAGGTGAAGGAGCTCATTAGTTTAACTCATTAGATTAATTTATTTGCATATGCCACTCCCCCTGACATCATCGGAAGTGTGTCAGAAGGCAACACCCACCGCTTAGGCTCCACTGGACTGTTTTGGATTGCTAGCTATTGGGGGGGACGGGACGTGCAGATCTGTCCTCGCAGAGGAGGGAGAGCTTGTACCTGAATAAAACTTGGTCTTAAAGGTGCCACTGGACTGTTTTGCCGCGGGGGGGGGGGGGCGTGGGGGGCTCTGCAACTTACCTGGCTGCTTCTTGCTCTGACTGAGGGCTGCTGGGAGCAGGGGGTGGGGCTTGTTGCATGTGCCTGCCCCCTGGGCTCTTCACTGCCAGAGCTCCGCTCCTGTGCGCTCCTGCAGGAAATGACCCCTGCATTATGCTAACCCAATGGCCCCAATCTATTCTTAGTGTGCTCACCTGAGACACGATATGCACATTACCTGCTCAGGTTGCTGATGTTGGCAACTATTTTGGAAAGCATGGGTTATCTAAACTCTGCCTCAACTCCTATCTCATGGCAAGGAAGTCCCTTAATTCCAATCCACTCTCAAAATTCAAAATTAATGTTTCTGTTGAAGGGGGGAAAAACCTGACCAGTGTACATTCTGGGCAGTTTACACAGAGACTCCCCCCCCCCCCCCCCCGATAGAGTACAAGACTTGATTAGAAAACCACAATAGGAATGGTGAACATTACGTACTCCACTTATGAATTATAGGAAACATACCTCATGTCAGGTGAAAAATCAACTTGACAAGCATAGCCTGCCACCATATGACCCTTGAAAATTTTCTTTTTATTTAGTCTGAATCTGTTCTGAGCGCCAAAGATCAAAATCTGATTGTCCATCGATTGACAAGCCAGCCATTTTCCTGTTAGAGTAAAGATATCAATGCAGAGGTCAGCTCCCTCGAAGTAAATTCCTGCCCTTAGAATTGTACAACTCTGACTCATTAATTATTAGAATCACTACAGATTGTCACCACATGCTGATTAAATGTATGTCCTTTAAAAGATGTCAAATGCTGCAAAATGTATGAACCGTGCTGACCCAGACCACTTACCTACTAGGTTCTCTTTCATTGCTAGTTCAATTGTTAACGCTGAAACAAATTCTAGCTGTATAAAAGCTAAACCCATCAACTGCAGAAGTGAGCAATACTGAAAATGCACGTGCCAAAGAACCAACCACATAAAAGGAAACCATGGTTAACAAAAAGGAGGAGGGGTGGTGAGGATAATGATGGATTCAAGACTGGTAACATGAAGAGAGGATGAGGGAAGCTAGCACAGAGAAAGATGCTGTGATGGGACTGCGTTTCAAAGCTAGCAGTTGTGGAGACTGACAAGAAGGTAGATAAAGACAGCATTGTATTGGATATTACAACTAGAGCTCTGCTCCCTCTGCTTAAAAACTTATCAGACCCACTGTACATTTGCACCCCTCCAAAAACTTATAGCATCCAAACTGGCTATTAATAATTTCTTCCTAAAGACTAATGTTTTAAAAGAACAAAACAACACTGATGGTAGCTCATTAAAAACTTAGGAAGGAAAGCACAAACATACAAAAGAAATTGCCAGGGGGCCTCAAACTTTGGCTGGTTTTGACAGACAACCTAAGTGTGTGCTTGACTGAGGAGGAGGAGCAGGATCTTTTCCTGTGACATCATGTTACTCTTTTGGAGGTGCTCCAAACACCTCCAAAGCCAAGCATGGCTAGGGAGGCAGGGACTCATACACATCATGTTGAACCTGCTAGAGGTTCAGTGTGAGGCCAGGAAAATCCCCCATTCTTCTCCAGGAGCTTATTCTGACTTTGCATTGAGTCTCTAAGAGGTTTTCCAGCTTGCTGAAATGTAAACTATCCAGCTGTTCTGCCATATTTACACTCTGAATAAGGAGCATACGACTGTAAAATATAAGGCATTAAGGACTTAAAAAACAATATTTTAGAGAACAAATGGCTTAACAGGATACATATGCAAGCTTACCATTTGGAGACAAAGTCACTGCTGGCATTGAGTGCATACTTGGTTCTGCTATGTACTTGAAATCGACTGGAATGTCCCTGTAAAAAAAAAAGAGACGTATATGAATGACAAACACTGCAAACATTACTGAGCTGTGTAAATATCCCACTGTTAAAACCAAGGACTGATGGTACAAAGAACCATGTCTAGATGACAGACCTACTGCATGGGAGCCCATGAGGCCAGTATCTGAGTGTCTAATTTGGTCGTAGCTAACAAGCCCTTTCTTACGTGCCCAGGGTAATGCTGATCGCCACTTTGGGGTCAGGAAGGAATTTTCCTCCAGGCCAGATTGTCCCAGGGATCCTGGAAGTTTTTTTGCCTTCCTCTGTGCATAGAGCAGAAGTCACGGGGGGAGGGGGGGAGCGGGGTAGGAAGTTGCGAATTTCCTGCACTCCCTTCCAGCTCTGTTTTTGTTTCTAAGCATTTCTTTTCATCTTTCCCCCCTGCCTCATGCTTCAATATAAAGGATATATTTTGGACAATGATACTGACAATCCTGAACATGGTTATATGACACTGTAATGCCTGTTAATAGTATTTTAAACAGCCCTCGAGTGCTTCAGGTAGAGCAGCACGTGATAATCAGTTTCAGAACAATGCTGTAAAGCCTTTTACTCAGGGGTCATTTCCTGCAGGAGCGCACAGGAGCGGAGCTCCAGCAGTAAAGCGCCCAGGGGGTGGGAACATGCAACAAGCCCCACCCCCTGCTTCCAGCAGCCCTCAGGCAGAACAAGAAGCAGCCAGGTAAGTTGCAGAGCTCCCCCCAGCCCAAAACAGTCCAGTGGCACTTTTAAGACCAAGTTTTATTTAGGTACAAGCTCTCCCTCCTCTGCAAGGACAGAGCTGCATTCCCCCCCCCCAAAGCTAGCAATCCAAACCAGTCCAGTGTAGCCTGAGCAGTGGGTGTTGCCTTCTGACCCACTTCCAGTGATATCAGGAGGTGTGGCATATGCAAATAAGTTATGCTAATGAGTTAAGCTAATGAGCTCCTGCACCTCTTTTTCTACGAAATGACCCCTGCTTTTACTATATTTTAATCCTGCATGTAAGTCACAGCTGGCTGGGTGTGTGTGTGTGTGTGAGTGCAGTGAACTGAATCCGGGGATGATGGTGTGCTCCGGCTCTTTCCTGCCTTCTTTCTGATGTTCCTTTGATGAAGGAGAAGAGTTAGCTGCAGTGGGATCCAGGTACAGTAGAACAGGCCCTGCTGCTTCCTTCATGTGTATAGTCATGCATATATAGATAGAAGTTCAAAGTCAACTACTAAAGTGTTCCATTTTTTTCACAGCTGTAGTAGATGAACAGTGTAATCCTGTACAGTTACTCTAGCCTAAACACACTGAAATCAACGGACTGGAGTAACTGAATAAGACTGAACTCAGATGCCTCAACTGCTTCCATCTTCTGCATTAAGTAGAACCTCACATACAAAGGTCTTTGCTGGCTGCTCCAACCAGTCTTTTGACTCATGCTGAGTTCTTCCCTGGTTGCACTCTCAACAGCTCTTAATTGGCAAAGCATCTGCTTCATCCACCTAGCCTACCACATCTGAATAATCTCAAAATCATCACAGAAAGAGGCTCTCTAGCTGCACAACATGTTACTGAGTTACTGAGAATGAACCATGTAATGTCAGACTTGGGGAAATCCTTGTGATGTATCTGTAACAACATTTGTTCAACATTGTAGCATCATTCTCTTATTCCTCCACATCATCTACTTTGTGCCAAGCACTTTGATAACATTGCATACATGACAAATTTATCTCATTGTATTATGTCCTGACTGTACAGAAAAAGTCTTTTCTGAAATTTTTCCTGCCTGGGCCAGATGGCCTTAGCTGGTGACACTTCAGTGAGATTTTTGTCACAGTGAGATTTTTGTCACCTGAGCAGATGGCCAGGCTAGGGTAGAGAGACATGCAGGCGCCTTCCCAAGCATGGGAAGAGCTATGCCCAGTACATTACCACATCAAAAGCATTCCCTGACATGACACATAGACACTTGAAGAGGCTGGAGTGGGAGTAACTGAACTGCAGACAGGATGCCCAACTCCTAGCCAATCAAAATATACCTTGCCTGACAATGCATGGTAACCAGAGATTGGACACGCCTCCCCACTCTCTCACTATTGGGTAAATGGCCATATCTGGTGGTGACGGAAGGGGGTATAACTGCAATAGTCCATATGGGAAAAAGGAGTTCCTCTCTGGAAACAAAGAGTTCTTCTGGACGGGTTGCTTGCTTGTCAACTGCACTGTTAACATGGAATGAGCCTACAAGGAGCCAAGCTGGACTTAGCTGCCCACAGCACCATGGGGTTCCTTAGCTGCCCACAGCACCATGGGGTTCCTTTTCAAGATTCCTTGGTGAGACCTTGGACTATTTGCACACTGAATCATTTGAGACCTCTAAAAGCCTGGTAACTATGGAATACCTCTATTGTGTAGTTAGAGCTGAACAAGCTATAGATATCATTTGTTTTCTTATCTTTTGCTAGTCTCATGTTATATGCATGCTTGTGCACTGAATAAAGATAATATATCATCAATATTATCTGGACTTGTTTCCTCTGTTGCAACCTGATTTCTAAGACTGAATCTTGTGTCTAAGCCGTTCACCTAAGGAGGCCACCACTGTGTTAATTAATTGTTTGCAGCCCTGGTACACACTTCTGACACACTTAGATAAATCAGGCAGGAGGTGGGAGAGTGTACAGACATTCTCCTGGGGTTTGTTTAATTGTTGCTGAATGCTTGGTTTAACTCCCATCCCTGGACTGGGGTGAGAGAGAAACCTTGACACTGACATTTTCAGAAAAAGGTGAAATTCAACGTAACTTAGTTGCTGCTTCTTAAAGATCAATACAGGTATCACATAGGGTTTATTCAATACAGCTCTGATTTAGGCTCTATTCACTTGTTACTTTCTGTAGTAAAAAAAATCTCAACTCAGCCTCAGTCTTGAATGTACAAAGCTCCCTGCCTCCCTACAGCAAGTGATAAATGAATTCTGGTATAGCCCACTTATTTGATCAGGAAGATAAATTAAAAGAATACATCTGGATTTGCTTGTGACCTTCATCCACTGTAAGGGTGGGATCTGAATCCCCAAGTCTCAAATTGGGTTCAAGTTTCTCCCCACAAACAAGGTAGGATCTCAGCCTATGGCGTGTAATAGGCCACTCTGCATAAAAACATTACAGAGATGTTTTATATTCATTGAATATGCACCCGGCCCTATGTCCCAGCTCCCGCCCACCCAATGGCTCGAAAGCCTATTAAAGGGCGATTAATGGGTACCTGCTACTAGAGCGGGGGGGCACCCGTCCCTGTGTTGCAGCAGTGAGCAGCGAGGTGAAGCAGTGGTGACAGTGGTGGCGACGGAGAAAAATGGTGGCTGGCGAGGCAAGGAGCAAGCGATCGAAGAAGGCCGCACCAACTGGCGCGGAGGCGGAGCAACGCAGCAGGCCGGAGCCTCATCAGGACAAAGGCCGCAGCGGAGCATGCGCGGAAGTGCGAGTGGTCCTGGCCCGGAAATGGAATTGCTACAGCCGGAAGAAGGGAACTCCAAAGACCAGGACCAGAAAGGACGCCGCCGACTACCGCCCACAAGAACAAGACAACAACCGAAGATCCGCCGCAAAAAGGGTGCCTGGTAGGGTAGTCACCACCCCTGTATGTCTGTGGCCCTAGGTTAGATTCTGTAAAATGTGATTAGCACTCTCTGTAAGCCACCCAGAGACCCTTAGGGGTTAGGGTGGGATAGCAAATCGAATAATGTCCCAGGACATTGGAAGTGGAGCGCCGACATCCGAGGCCGCCGGAAGAAGCCAGACTCCAACAACAAGCCCTGCTGCCGGGTGCTGGTAGGAAGTCACCCCCCGTATAATTGTGGCCTTAGTTAGGAACCAATGATTGTGTGTAAGCCGCTCAGAGACCCTTCAGGGTTCGAGAGGGATATAAATTGAATAATAATAAATAAATAAATAGAATGATATACTTTCTGTCTTCCAGTTTAACAGTTTTTCCAGACACTGCACCTCCATAACAGTCACCTTAAGCTCATGGGCTCCTTTCCTTTCCTCCACTCCTCTGTGTATACCCAAATAGGGGGATCCATAAATCTTCCTTACCTGGCATATTAGTTAAAAACAAAGGTAAGGGAAATCTTGGCTTCAAATAAATTAATTCTTGAGGTTCAGACGTCATCTTCTTTATAAATAACTACTAACAGGTCACTTTTTAAAGATTACTAAAAATGCTGTTAGGGTAGTTCGCCTAAAATACTGAACAATGCTGTTATCTAATATAAGCATTTTAACTCAGTGGCATCGAATTCAATTCCATGAAAGTTTTAACTGTCGCAACACATATCTACAACCAGAATCATGGTTAATACAAGAACAAGAAACCTAGACAGAAGACCAGCTCCAAGCAGAAAAGATCTTAGAAGATTTTTTCATGCTCAAATGCCTCAGTGAAGCAAAGAGATCGAAAGACTTTCTATTGGAATTTTCATTCATTCTGTGATACTGCTCAAGACAGTCATTTTTAGGTGTGCAAATTTTTGGATGGCACTGAAAACTTAACAATGCACAATCAACAAGACAGTAACTTAATGCAATGATTCAATTTTTTTCCAAGAGATCTGACCACCAGAATTATATCTATATTCCTATCTAAGCCCTGGAAATGAAAGCATCTTGGCCTTGTTGTGCCTTGGCATTCACTGTTGGCTGATCCCATTGTTTAGACCTAATCTGACACTGGAACACGCACTCCTTACTTTTTGCCACCAGTATATTTGCTAGATTTCATCTTAGGGCTCATGCAGTTGTAATGGCTAGGGAAGTTAGCATTGGCATTGCAAGCTTCCTTTCTCTTTCTTCTGTGGTTGGACATGACACTCTGATGACTGTCAACTCTGATTATAAGGTTACTCCAATTGAAACCACCTAACATCAAATACAACCCCAACCAGGGTGCAAGGATGAGTATGTACCTGTATATGTTTGAATGTGCGCAGGGGAGGGGAAGGCAGAATGTGATCTAGTGACTCTTAAACTGAATGCTTAAACATCTGCACTAGCTTCAAAGACACAAGAATCAAGCAACCACAGTCTGCACACTTGTTTGACAAACCCACAAGAAAGCAGTCTCAACCAAATTGATACCTATATGGTATCATGAACATAGCAAGGGGGGAAAGTGAGTAAAAGACCAATTCATTCTACTACTACCAATTTAAATCAGGCAGTTTTATCCTTCCTTCCTCCCATCCAACCACTATCAGGCACAGAGTTCCACTTACCATTCCCAGACTCTTAAACTCTTGTCATCAGATGTACTGACAAATCGTCTGTTCTCATCCACAAACACAATGGTGTTGACAGCACCCAAATGCCTATCATACTCCTGTACTATTTCTCCACTTCGAATATCCCACTGCAAGATAAGCAGAACAACACGGTTCCATGTATTCCTCACACAACAAGAAGCAACTGACATGCATTGCTTTGTAAATTTTCTGGAACAGAAGAACAAGTATTTGAGCACAGATTTCTAGTATTAACAGCCTATCGTTATTTTAAGTGTCTTGAAGGCATTCTAGTCAATGGTAAACTAATTCACTCTTCCTTAAAAAAATTATGTAAAGATCATGAAATGCCTGCCTTACCTGAACAATTTTCTTATCTGACATTCCTGCGACAAAAAGGTTTTGTTTATCTTCATCAGGATTGAATTTGACACAATAAGGAACCTTTCTGTTGGTGAACCTTGAAATACACTGTCCTAAAGAGAAAGACAATCATGGACTGGGACACCATTCAAGACATCCACACACTCTTATGGCCCTTAAATAAGAAACTGGTCTTATGTAACTTATACATTTGGCCTGGCTGGCAGCGTTTTGATTTAGAATCCAACTTTTGTTCATCAGTGATCAGAACAATTTTCTTTACCGCCTAATTACTGATCCTTATACTTCAACTTGGCTTAAGCCAATAAATGAAGAGTTGACCACTTTTAGTCCCTCCCCACTTTTAAACACATTGGGTTACGTAAAGCTGGTTTAGTGATTAATGACCATATAAATACTATGGACTTCCAAGAAACACAGTTTAAAGCCTGCAGTATTGTGCTCTCCCCTACTATTTAACTTAGCTCCAATGATCCTACATCAGCATTAGTGTTGATATAGCTATGTCTTTATGCTGGCTAGATTTAACGTGCTACCATCTGCATTCCTTTCAGGAAGATACAAAAACCTTCCATATAATTATAGATTTTGTCCTTGCTCTGTTAACCTGATTGAAACATTGGTTCACACGTCTTTCCACTGTAGATTCTATGTACAGGCATGCTTGGATTTAGTGGAATCAGCGCTGGTTGATTTAAAAAACTTGTTTTCTAGGCAGAAGACTCAAAGTCTTAATGGCAGAGGCTGACCAAAGAACTACGGTATCTGTGGCAAAGTTTCTGTGCTCTGCAATGAAAAAAGAGGCCGAGATAAAGTTCAGTGTATAATTTACTCAGATTCTAACTTTTAAACTGTTGGATATATTAGGACAAATGATGTTTGGTGAGGTTCTATGTAGATAATTTTATATTGAAAAAGAGCAGTTTCTGTCAAGAGTTCTCTCAGCCCCACCTACCTCACAGGGTGTCTGTTGTGGGGAGGGGAAGGGAAAGGAGTTTGTAAGCCGCTCTGAGACACCTTTCGATAGTGAAGGGCGGGGTATAAATCCAATCTCCTCTTCTTCTTCTTCTATATTGTTATAATTTTATAATATTTATTATTTTACTCTGCTACTGAATGACTGATTCAACACAACTGGCTTTGCAGAGCTATCCAAGGTTACTTTCTATTATGGAAATTGCCCTGAGGGTTTACAGACTCACGTGACAAGATAAACCTCACAAATAAAAAGTACCTAGTCATTTAAAAAAGTGCTTTTCACTACTTTGTGACATTTGGGGGGAGTCTGTGGCCACATCCCAACACCATAAGTGCAGTTAGTTTAAACTATGCTTAACGAACTACCAACAGATGATTGAAACCAACTATGCCACTCAGATTGTACGTTTTTTCTGCTACCAGTCAGACAGGAGACAGGGTTTTGTTGTTGTTTTTAACGCTCTGCAGCTCAAACAGTGTCCTAGGGAGTGAAGCTACCAAACACGCCAGGATTGGTAGCTTAAACAAGGATTCCTATATTTGGATTTAACAGCCAACCAGGCTTCACAAGCCACGATGGGATTGGTTAACAGTAGTTTGTGGCCTTCCTACTGACCAGAGTGTGGGATGGCCAATATTCCGATATCACACTCAACCAGAGTTTAATCAACATCAGAATCCAGTCTGTTACTGTAACAAGGCACAGAAAATAGATAAAAATATGGCCATTATTGACAACACTGAAAAAAAATGACACTATTCATAACAGTACCGCTAAACAAGGAGGCTGAGACTAAATCCCCCCCCCAATTTTGACAGAACTGCCTATCTGTACTACAACAGTATCATACAACTGTGGATGGAGAAGGTAGGACTAGATGACATGACATGGCTTCAGCTGTAGCACTCGTTAGAAACCTGCTCATTTCTCCTTACTCCCACAAGGCACTTGTGTGATTTCCTCTAAAGCCTGGGACAGAATTTGATGGTGGGAGAACACAGAAGCTACATTATTTAGGATGCACCTATGACTACACTTATTCCCTCCCCACTTTGGATATCCAATAAAGGAATCACAACATTAACATAGTGCGTACCATAGTGTGAGTGTTTGTGTTTAGCATGTTGTATGGTGGTAATAGGACTTTATATCTGTATTTGCCAGACAGATTAGATCTATTATTAATACATTCAGTGAAGTGGCTACATTTGGCTACATTTCTGAGGGTCATCCAGTTTTGCCAGGGCAATTTTATAACAATCTTTGCTTGGCCAACCTGTAAGCATAACATGGAACTGGAGCCAGTCATGACTCTTTGATAAGTATGGATTGGATGCAACCAGGGGTCGTTTCGGGGGGGAACGCGAGGGAACGTCGTCCCCCCGGGGTGAGGGATGGGGCACACAACAAAGCCCCGCCCCCTGCTTCCGGGGCAGCGCTGAAGCGTCGGCCTGCAAGAACATGCGCCACAGCAGCGAGCCCGGCACCAACAGCGCCGTCCCGCGCCGCGTCAGGTACGCCTGCCCACCCACGTTCAGCTCCACGATCTCCCGACACCGCTGCCCGCCGACGCCACCGGCTCGGGCTGCTGGTGCTGAGAGTGGGCACCGCCGTGCAGGGCTCCCCCGCTGCCCCCATTGGGCAGCCCCCGAGCGCTGTCAGCTAAGGCCATGGCGATCCCGTCAGGGTCCTCCTGCTCGCCCGGCGCTCTGACCACTCGCTTCCCTTGGGCGCCGTCCGGTCCGAGGCTGGCCCGCTGGCTGACGGTGGCGGAGTGAGGAGGGGGGGAAGCGCCTTCTTTGCCCCTCCCTCTCCCGGCGGCAGCGGCCAGGCACTGGCAGCGAGCGGGGCTGTGTTTATGTACAGCCTCTGGAACCGGGCAGGAGGCGTGGGGAGCGGGGCGGGCAGACAGCACGGAGAGCGCACAGGCATGGGGTGGGGGCCGGGCGGTGGGTTGACACCGAAGCGAGGCCCGGCCTCCCCCCTCGCCCGCCTTCCCCAATTGCGGAGGAGACCGGCCGCAGAGGCCCCTCCCCTTTTCTGGAGCCCGGTTGGGGGGGGGGGAGAGCGCGATCCAACTCTCGCCGGATCCGGCCCCCGGCCCCTCTCTCTTGCTGTCCCCGAGCGGGTTAAGCCGTCGCTTTGCAGAGCGGAAAGCTTGCCATGCAGACTCCGGAACGGCTCCCTTGCGCGCCGCCCTGCGGGACTTAACCCCTTGCTGCGGGAGCGTCTTGAAGACTCAGATCCTCTTCGCCCTTACTTAGGAGTAACTCCCCGCTGAATTCGGCAGGACTGCCCAGGGCGGAGCCTTGGGACCAAATGCGCCCCCCCCACACACACACACACACCCAGGCAGGCTACTGCTGTCATCTTCGTTTACTGTGGAGTAGTCCCATAGGGAACGAAAGAGGTGTAGAGTGGAGGAATGTGGTGTGCCATGAATACAAACTGGTACAAATCAGCCGCATCCGTTGCCAGGTGTTCTTAACTTTCTCATAGCTGCAGCTCCAACTGAATACGATGGCAAGGTGTGCTGAACTTTTTTCTGAGAGTAGTCCTATAGAAAATAATGGAGAGTGGCTCTGGTGTGAGAATGCAAGGGGGTGTGTGTGTGAGAAGTGGATTTGGTCCCCTGCTGCAAAGAAGAGCAACACGGGATTCGGTGGGACCGGCTGCAAGGGTGAGTGGAGTTGAAGGGTGCCCAAGCGGACAAGCTTTTGGCTCTTTAGGCTTCCCTCCCTCCGAAGCCACTTCATTTGGCAGTGGGAAGCCACGGGGACTGCTGTGGGACGGGGCTGCTCTACCGGCAGCCCAGGGCAGCAGAGCCGTGCTGCAGCCAGACCTCTGAGCCGCTGCCTCTCTGGAACCATTCCAACACCACGGAGGCTCTTCTTGCACAGTCTGTGGGTTTTTGCAAGCAGGAGCCACCTTCCGGTTTGGGGGAAGCAAAAAACAAACAAACCCCAAAATGTTTTTTCTGCTCTCCAGGCGGATTTCCTTTTATGTTGAAGTTGCGAAAATGCATCTGTTCCTTTATTTGCGTGCTTCTCTTTTTTCCCTCCTTCTTCTTCAAATAAACAGATTTTATATTTTATTTTATTTTTTGTAAGTTTCTCATAGAGAACACTGCATGCCAGGTTTCTACGCATCAGTCGTGTTACACGTGGGGCCTCTGGAATCCAAGCTGTTCGCTTCATTTGGTCTTTGGCAAAAAAAAAAATCCCTATGTTCTCTGATTCTTTCTGGTGTCATAATTAGTGCAGCGTATTGTATTAATTCAAAGGAACGGCTGTCGTTTTTTTCACAGCCAGTTCTACAGTGAAACAGTTACTGCCATGGCTGGTGTATCTGTAAATATACATTACTAAGCACGCATGTCCCTGGGCTTACTTTGGAGTCGGTTGCTTGGGCGCTGCAGTGATAATGTTTGCGGGGCTGCCAACAAGCCATTCGGTAGAATACAATTAAAGACACATATTTTTGAAGAGATGGGTCTTCCGAGAGTTTGTGAGCATGCTGATGTGTTTAAGTAGTTATTAATATTGCCTTACGAGTGCTCCTCAGAGGCAGACCCTAAATGCGTTTACTCAAAACGAGTCCCGTTGAGTTCGGTGGCGCTCGCTCACTAGAAAACGTAGAATTGCTTCCTTTAAAAAGGGCAAGTCTTGCGGTCGGAGATGGGAAGCGATGGTGTCGTGGGAAGTCACCACCTTTAGAAAGAGCTCGGGTTGCCAATTCTATGTTGGGAAATTCCTGGAGTTCTCAGGGAAGAGCCCGGGGAGGGTGTGGTGTTTGGCGTATAGTGCCACAGGGTCTGTCCTCCAAAGCATCCATGTCCTCCGGTGATACTGATCTCTCTGTTTTTTATTTATTTATTTATGTCACGTATAGTCCACCTTTCTCACTTGGACTGGGGGCGGATTACACAGAGTGAGTCAATGCAATCGACAGGATAGGGCATTCACAGAACGGTGCAATAGGGTTAGGGTTGCAGAACCAATCAGAAATCCAAAAGCAGAACTGAAGCAAAACCGTAAGTCTTAAGATGACACATTAACTGGTATAGAAATCACATAGTAGGGATCCTAGTTTCAGGAAGCTAAATGCAGTACATAAGTCCATAAGAAGAGCCCTGCTGGATCAGGCCAATGGTCCATCTAGCCCAGCACCCTGTCTCACACAGTGGCCAACCAGTTCCTCTGGAGGGCTAACAGCAGGGCATAGAGGCTGAGGGGCCTTCCCCTGAGGTCGCCTCCTGGCTCTGGGATTCAGAGGATTAGTGCCTCTGAATGTGGAGGTTCCCCTCAGTCACCATGGCTAGTAGCGACTGATACCCTTATCCTCCACGAATAACAGTGGCATAGACCAAAGTCCCTGATAACTTACCTACGTAACTTTGTGAATCATTTAGTACAGTGCAACTCTATTGCTTGTGCAGAAAAGCTCTCTCAAATAAATCTGGAGATCAGTTATAATTCCAGGAGATCTCCAGGCCCCACCTGGGGGTTGGCAAGCCTACGCAGAGCACATACTTTGGCATACAAAAGGGCCCAAGTTCTAACCTTGTGATCTTTCTCTCCTGTCGGCTGATGCCAGCCAGAGTAGGTAATACTGACAGGGTCTGAGTGGGTCTCGGGCAGCGATTCCCAAACTGTGGGTCAGGACCCCAAAGTGGGTGAGGGTTCTGTTGCTGGTGATTCATGAGGCTGAATGAGAGGAGTGGGTGGGGGAGGAGGTTCAGGGCAAGAGTGCTCCGTAGTCAGTTTGGGTTTGCTTCTACATCATCCAGGAAAGGCAACCTGTTGCTAAGGGATGCTAACTATTTATATATAAGCATGAAAAATAAACTGTGAACTTGTTTAGCATTAATGCCATTGCGGGCAGCGGCTAGAAAAGCTCTCTAATGGCTGCACGGCCGGCCCCAGCTTATTTTGCACCCTAGGCGAGGATCCCTTCTGGCGCCCCCTCCCGAGCGCCCACCAATTTCCACTTCTGCCCCCCCCTCCATGCTGCTGCTCCTCCTCCTAAGATGTTAGCTGGCCAAAGAGGTGGCGGCCACCTGGTCAGAGCCAGTGGGGGGGCTTTTTTGGTGGGGGCAGGTGCAGTTTGGTGCTCCTCGTCAGGGTGCCCAAAGAAGAAGCTGACCGGCGGGGCGCTCACAAGCCATCGCTCCCCTGGCCCTGCTGCTGCTGCTTCAGCTGCCAGTCCCCGGGTGCGAGGAGGAGGAGAAGCGCTCACACTCCACTGGGAAGCCAAGGGGGCAGGCAGGGAGAGGTTAGCCGGCCAAAGAGGCAGTGGGCAGCAGCGGCGGGGGTCACCCAGCCGTGGAAATGCAATGGCGGGGGGCTTTTGGTGGGGGCAGTTTGGCGCCCCAAGGGCTGGCGCGCTCTAGGCGAATGCATAGTTCGCCTAGTGAGTGAGCCGGCCCTGAATGGCTGCCACCACTCTGGTATGGGTCTCCTCCAGAGGGCCCAGAGCACCCACCCTACCCCTTTATCCACCCCTTTTCCAGACGTTTCCTCCTTATGAGTGACCAAATGGGGTGTGAGGACCCAGGCAGAGTATTGAAGAGATTTAATAACAACTGTAGTTCAGTAACGTAGGGAAAATGAGCACAGTAAAGGTGGGTAAACCAGAAAAATAAGAAACCCTAACACATCTGACTATACTGTTACCTAGCCTTCTCTAGGTCTTCAGCCTCAAGCTAACTCCCCCCCCCTTTGGATGAGGGATCCCTCCATCTGCAGCAGCTTCTCACTAGCTCAGCTTCCTAGGAGTGGACCACCCCCCACTTTGGGCAAGGCCTTTTACCACTTCTTCTCAAGCAACACCCTCTATTAGGGTACGTTTTCCCTCCAAATCCCATTAGCCAATCACAGGGTCGAAAGGAGACCTTGGAAACATAGGACCTGATATCTACTCTGATACAGGCTTCCCTGGAGCCACTAGGCCTCCCTAGAGCCTGTAGGCCACACTACTATAGGCCTAGGATTGTGACGTGCCATGTGGCATTCTTGCATTTTATGTTAGGGAGGAGGAAAGCATGGAGTTATGGGGGATTTTTTTTTGTAAGTTGCCATCAAGTCACAGACAGTATATGGGAACCCAGCAGGGTTTTCCAGGCAAGAGACACTCAGAAATGGTTTCCCATTGCCTGCCTTTGTACAGCGAGCTTAGACTTCCTTAATGGTCTCCAGTCCAAGTGCTAACTGGGGCGACCCCTGCTTAGCTGCTGAGACTGGACGAGATGGGGCTGGCCTCGGTCCCAATAACAGTAAGTTTACAAGTGAGCCCAGCTTAACAAATTCGGGTATATGAGGAAACCTCTTATGGTCAAATTTATTTCCAGAATAAGAGTGTTCAGCAGAGACCTACAACACTGTTGAGGCTGTGGGGACTTAAAGAATTTTGAGAAATGGCTGTGGGCCACACCACAAAATGGCCGCTCAGAACCCCAGAGTCTTCCTCCTCCCAGAGTCTGCTGTCTCTGAATGGAACCCGGTACCAACGGAAAGATGATGCCTCCTTGGCGTTCCTGAAGCACCCTCTGCACCAAAGAGGGCGGGTGTTAAGTCGCTCACTTAACAAAGAAGTCGGAGAGTGATTCAGCAAGAACACAACTTTATTCTTCAACTCGAACACAACTCCAACACAGATCAGCATCTGATAGCCAGAACAGCCTTTACATTGCAGCTGTCCTGCTTTTAAACATTCCCGGATAATGTAGCCACACCCACTGTACAAATACCAACCAATAAGGTTGTTCACATAAGGACCAATCACGGATGTTCCCGCTCAGGGAGCTTGCTTGAAAGTGATTGGTTAGGTGCTTCATGGGCTAGTAACACGATTGGATGGATTTGGATCCT